CAGTCAGGGGGATTCCAATCAAATTAAAATGGAAAAACCAAATGTGAGTACGATTTTCAGGCATACACTTATGAACTAAATCATTTCATTCTAAGCATGCTAAATAAACAAACAAACATTAAACACTGGACTCCAAGTTTTTAAGAGATATGTTCCAAACTATGAGTGGCAAAATTATTTTTACAAAGCATGGCCTTGGCATAGTTGGGCTTAGAGAGTATGATTAAGGATCTTCAAAATACACACCTGCGTTATCAAAGTTATGGATGAAACATGGTGTGGCACGCCAGCACGGACCAGCGTGAACATCAGGAACTCTGTAAAGCGGTAAGCCCTTTCGGCTCTGTAGAGTTAAGCAGCAGGCGGGAAACCTTCTTTGGTTTATGTTTATTTCTCTAACACTAGCTAAGCCTGTGTCCCAAGAAAGGTCCTCAGAAAAAAATCTGTGACTTGGTGGATGGATGAATGAACGATGGAGAAGGTGGTGGATGGATGCGAGGATACGTGGATAGACTGGGTGAGGCGTGGGTGAGTGCGCAGACCTCCGTTCTGGGAGTAGGTTAGAAATGGATTCTGTCGATGACAATGTCCTGACTATAGCATATTGAGATAACAATTTTGACATGTGGTGCACACTTTCTCGTGGGCCTGTAGTGACAGACAGAGTGATAGAAACAAAGAACTGGAGAGCCTCACAACGGCCCGCTTCTCCGGGCCGCTCAGGGCTGCCCTCGCTCCGGGGGGTGGCGGGCGTTTTCTGGGTACGCGGGAACAAGACACGCTCCAGCGCACCCTTTCTCTTAGCTTCATTTACCTTTTTCATTCTGGCAGATAATTTTTCCCAGCATTCCCTGTAAAAAAAAATGAATGTTTAAGAAATTGAGTTTTCTAAACTTGTTATGGGACACTGGATGTCCAGGCCATGAAAGCTGGCTTTTTGATATGTCAAGAGATTAACATTTTCAAGATTCTACTCATTTTCAGAGAAAAGAGGAGGGTGGGAGAAAGAGAAGGAGAGAGACATCAGTCCGTTGCTTCTCACGTGCTTCCAATGGGAGGCCCGGCCGGTAGCCCAGGCACGCGCCCTGACTGCGTGGGTACTGAACTGGTGACATCCTTGGTTCACAGGCTGGCGCTCAATCCACTGAGCCACATCAGCCAGGACGGGATTAATATTTTAGGTAAATGTTCTGTGTAACAGAAGAGTGAGTTCAATTCCAATATTTTGGCAGCAAAAAACAATAAGATCAACCATGACCTGAAGGTAAGTCAATAATCTCACTTGGTAATTGTGCAGAAATTTCACAATTACAAAACACAGGCGAATGATCTCCCTCAGGCCCCAGAGGAACCCGGTGCGGTAGGCTTATCGCAAGAAGCGGCTTGTACAATGCAGCACAGCCCGTAAGCAGCAGCCTTTGGATTTGAGCCTCGACTTCCAGGTGTAATCTCGTAATCTCTCTGTTTTAGTAATCTCATTACTTATTAGTAATCTGCAGGAGATGTTTTAAGGGATGTGAGCCTGCCCAACACCACGCGTTCCTTCCCTCCCTGTAGTAGAGTCAACAGGTTGGACTACACACAGCCCTTTGGGTGGGACATCTTGTAATCACGGTTTACCTGCTCTTCCCCTAACACGACGGTGAACACGAAGGGGTGGTTAATTCTTTGCCGTGTGGGGGAGGGGGCTGTCCTCTGCACTGGAGAAGGTTCAGCGGCCTTCCTAAATGCCAGTTACACCCTCCAATCATGACAAACAAACACCGTGGTCAGACACTGCCGAACAGCCCACGAAGGGGGCGCTCACCCCGTTGGGGACCTGCTGCTCACATGCGCGGCCACAGGTCTGCCCCGCCAGAGAGGCTGGGCTTCTGAGGACCCGAGGGAACAGAGCAAAACCTGGTGTTTAAGAGCATGAAAAGGAACTCACGCTTCTGACATGAGCCCATACAGAATGCTGGTCTGCTTTACAGAAACGCCCAAGTGCTGGGAAGGAGCGTGGCAGAGGGAGGTGGCGGGTTTAACGCGGACTTTCGGTCTTCAGTTTCAGGACGATTTCTGTCGCCAGCAGGACTGGATCCAGAAGGGGAGGTGATGTGAGAGGAAGAGGCTCCCGCTGCAGCCTCCCGAGCCTGGCAGGCGGCTTGGCGTGAGGGTCACGAACCCTTCCAGCCCCGTCCGCAGGGCTGGCCCTGGAGGTCGGAGGCCCAGCACGTGTGTGCCCTTCCAGCTTCAGGCTGCCTTTCCAGAAGGGCTTCCAGCAAGGCGTCACAATAGAATTTTGGAGGCTTCTCCTCCTCCCCGGCTTCTCTCTCTCTTCTTCTTCTATTTTTAAAACATCTCTTCCATCATCCAACATGTACTCGTAAAAAAGCTGGTTGGTTTTGAGAACAGTGCAAGATCACACGGGTAGAAAACAGAAAACACTCTCGCAAGCTCAATGACTTCATGGTAGGGTGACCGTATAATTCATCGTCCAAACTAGGGCATTCCCAAGAGTGACAGTGGAGGCTCTGGTGATTATGCTACCGAGACGACAGGCCGGCTGGCTACGACAGAATGTCGCCCTAGTTCTCCCCGGTGATCCGGTCGAGATGCGACCGCTCTGTCCTCCAGGACAACACTGGCAGGGAGGTCAGAATGTTAACACGAACAAACCCTCTGCGGAGTGTGATGCGCGTGTTCCCATTGCAAACCCACAGTGACCGTGGTCCCCCTGTACCTGTCCAGCTGCTGTTGATGAAAAACTTAGTGAGGACCTCACAGTCAGCCCAAGGCAAAGTGGGACTTCAGTCGGGCGGAGCGGCCTGGACGCCCACCCATCGTCCATGATGTTCTTCACATTGGTTCCTGTCCTGTTCTTACCGACCTCCACGACCTCTACCTGGGCCTCAGTCCCCGCCTCCTCAGTTAGGCCACTTCGGCAGCAGCCAGCAGCGACAGTCTTCTTTGAACTGAAAGTGTAACTTCACAAACAACTGAGCAGAACCAGCAGTTAAGGCAGGTGCGGGGCAGGCGAGGAGGGGGGCCAGCTGGGAGAGGAAGCAGAGCTGGGGGCGCTTTGGTTCTGCCATAAAACATGATCTGAATGCCACAGGCTCGTCATCCCCCGGAGGTGCCGCTGGGAGAAGACCCCACGGGGAGAGGGGATCTCTGTGGAAGTGAGTCCACTCATTTCAGAAGACCAGCCCCAACAAGAAACATGTAAATCGTTTATTGATAAGGCCCCGAGGTTTTCTTTGCAGTCCCCGAGTTACCCCGCTCCCTGGTTCCTTGTGATGTGTGGTAGGGAAACTCACTCAGTCCTCAGCACTTTTGCCTCCTGCCTCTCACCCTTGCGTTTGTCACCTCTGTGTGACCCTCCGTGGTATTTAAATAGCTAATCTGGCGCTGGCTGCCAAGGTCACAATGTGCAAGTCTCTAAGTAACTCCACAGCGACCTTCACAACTCTATTTATTTGGTATTTCCTTTTCATGAACTGACTTGGCCTTTGCTAATAATTAAAAGTATTCACTGAAGTAGTCACCGAAGTCTGTAGATAAGAATTTCTGGGAACACCGAGTCGTGTGACATTAGCTTGTCCCCCAAACTGTAAAACCAATTGAGAAAAACATTTTTGAAAACTGGCTCAGGTTGACTCAGATGTGTATGAAAGCATGCGTGTTTTCATTCATTCAGTACATTTTTATTAAACTTCTCCCCTGCACCCAGTACTGTTCCAAGTAGTGACGAACAAAATGTATCCTGTTCATCGGGGGAGAGAGCTGCCACGGAGATCGCCAAGGCACAAAAGGGCGGCGGAGAGCAGGAGCCGCGCTTTAAAACTGGGTGTTTATCCATGTCCATTGCATCACTATGCCCATTAGTCAAGACGTGCAAACAACCCAAGTACCTGTCGATGGATGAATGAATGAAGAAAATGTAACACACACATATATATATTTCATTATATATACTCTGTTTTATTATATAGCTATATAAGTTGTTACTTTCTGTCTTCCCTATTTTCAGCTTTGAGCCTACAATCATTTTTAAATAATACATTTTGTGTAGTTACAGGAAATCAACGTACAGGATTTTATGAAAATTAAAAATTCCTTCCGACGACTATCTTTGAAAAGTAAAAGACTCTACTTTCATGGTCTACATGGAATGATGCAGCTTTGAGGGCCAGTGTCGATCCGAGTAAATGGATCCTCACGGGACAAAAGGCGAATCCACCTGGGCAGGTGTCCTGTGGCTGCTCCCTTTCCTTCCAGGATTCCCCCCCGCCCCGCCCCCCGCCCCACGCTCCTCCGACGCCTCGGCAGCGCGCAGGATTCCGCAGCTGGGGACCAGCGGAGACGCTCAACGCCTGGCCCCTGGGCCAAGTGGGGATTCGGTATTTGGGTGAGGGGTGTGTGTTTGGGGGGGGGTGATTTAAATGCCTCTGGGACTTAAGAGTTGTTCCAGGAAACACCGGAATGGCCCGTAGAACCAGGATCTTCTCGTTGAAATCCACAAGGTCCATGAGAAAGGCTGCCATTGGTCAGGCTCCCAGGTCACTCAAACGGGGCCCGGGGCGGGGCGGGGATGGGGGCGGCGGTGTAGAGGTGGGGTTGCAAACCCCGCCCAAGCCCCGGAGGATGGTTAGCACCAAGGACTTCTGGTCAACCCCAGGACGGCGGGTCAGACACTCAACAGTGCAGCAGCAAAGCTGCCCGCGCGTCCAGGGGACTGCAGCCGGAATTGGCGCGCGGGTGGGAAGCAGACGCGGAACTGAGGATAGCGTAGAGGAAGAGTCTAGGGAGCTTAAAGCCAGAAGAAGGGGCGCAGCGCCTTGGGCCGAGCGGATTTCTCCCTGCGCGCCCGGCGCACCGCCCCGGAGCCTCCAATTCCGGAGCGGAGCGTCCTCTCCGAGGGGACGCAGTGGCCCTCGGCCCCGCGGCCCTCGCCCGGCGCCACCTGCCCTCAGCAACTTCGAAGAAGGGTCTTCGGCCAAGGACAGGGATCTACGGCCATGGCCGAGGTCACAGAGCCAGAGCAGGGCGCCCCGGGTCCCCAGGGGCCGCTGGAGGGCCCCGCACTTCTGGCGGAGAGACCAGGCGAGCCGGGGACCGCGGACCCGGAGGCGAAGGGGGAGGAGACGAGCGAGGACCCCGCAGGGACGGCGAGTGGGGAGGGGGCGGGCGCAGCCGCGACGGCCGCGCTGAGGGAGGGAGAAGACACAGGGCCAGACGGAGGGCGCGGGGGTAAGTTGGAGCCCGGCGCGGGCAGTGACCCGGAGGTCGAGGCGCCGGGCGCGAGCGGAGCGCAGGGAGAGGCGCAGGCCCAAGAGGGTGCCCCGGAGGGCGAGGGAACCCCTCGCGGAGGGGAGGAGGCGAGCGGCGCGGAGCAGGTGGAGGAGGCGAGCCCCGGGCGCGACGCGCAAGGTGGGGCCTTGGGAGAGGCTCAGGGGGAGCCCGGGGAGCCCGCGGTCTCCAAGGCAGAGGAGGAGGCGGAGCGCAGGCCGGGGGAACCGGGAAGCAGCGCGCCCTGGGCGCCGGGGCCCAGCGTGGACGCCGAGGGGCCGCCGGGGGTCTGCATGGAGGCCGAGGAGCTGGCGGGACCGGCGCCCGGGGACGAGGGGGAGCCCCGGGACCGAGGGGACCGCAGCCCCCAGCCTCAGGTGGAGTCGATTGAGGCCGCAGCGGCGGAGGGTGGGGAGCTTGCAGGGGAGCTTCAGGGTGCAGAGGTGGGAGCCGTGGAGGAGGCTGGGGCCTCAGGGACAGAGGAATCCGAGGAAGCGGCCGCCGGGGACTCGAGGGCAGACGCTGGCGAGGACGGAGACCACGAGGGCCCCCAGGCGGAGGCAGAGGACAAAGAGGAGGAGAAGGGAGATCGCGGCCCGGACGGGGCAGGCGAGGTGGGGCCCCCCGACGGCAGCGTGGCCGGGGAGGCGGTCGCGCAGACCAGCGAGACCGGGGCGGTGGAGCAGAGCAACCACCTGGCGGAGGAGGGCAGCGCCGAGGGCGCGGACGAGACGGCGCGCGTGAACGGCCGTGGGGAGGACGGCGAGGCGTCCGAGGAGGGGCCCCCGGCGCAGGAGCACGACATCACGCTCTTCGTGAAGGTAAAGCTCGCTCTCCCCAACTCGTAAGACGTCCTCTCCCAGTCTTAGCCTTGGTCTTTTCTGGTCCCAGAGGGATGATCAAGAAGCCTGCCCTAGGCGTCCTGATTGCAACCAAGCGCTTCCCGCCGCTCTAGGAGGGAGGTGGGGCAGCCTGGGTTTCCCGGGAAAGAGCTCAAGAAGCGTTTGGGGAGGACAGGCTGGTCTGGAAGCAAAGGGGTTGGGGGCGGTGTCGGAAGTCAGGACGCTGGCCTGCATCCCCACTGTCCTTTGTCCTGAAAATCCTAACTGGCCCTTCCAGTCAAGAGGTTAATTAAGAATTAACTTAAAAAGCCAAAAGCCCCGTTGATGTTCAGAACAAGCTCTGCCTAAGGAGGCTCCTGTACTTGAAGTGAAAAAAGGCACACAGGTGGACTGTAACGTGAGAAGCACCCAGCCTGGAGGCCGGAGCCTCTGGAGCCTCTGGCCGGGAGATCACCCAGCAAGGCATCTCATTTGGGCAGGCTAGATGCGGTATGTTTGGGAGGAACGTGGAATTCTCCTTAGACTGTACTCTTTATGGAGCACTTTAACCTTTGCTTTGGAAGAAGAGGCGATGCTGGTGACTTCCACCGCGCCTGCCCTTAGGCCCTATTTTCAGCCTCTCCTGAAATGGGAAGGGAGTGATGGGTTCGTTGAACCACCTGTGGGAGACTGGGCAAAGGGAGTTTTGGGTTTAAATAGGCATTTTCACAAGGTGTCAAACATAGGGGAGGAGGTCCACTGCAGCACACGAGGGTCTTTGTTTGAAAAGACCTTTGGCCAGACTGAGAAAGCAGCAGATATGTAATAAGGTCAAGAATGTGCTTTGCATGTTGAATCATAATCCTTCCAAAATTCTTTAGGCTTATAGAAGCCAGTTATGACCACTAAACTTCCTTGACTGAAGTGGAAGCAAATTCTAACAAGAAAAAGAAAGAAAGAAAGAAAGGTTCCCAAAGTGGTTGTATTAACATCAGAACGTCAACGACTGTTCGGGTGCAAGGGGGTGAGGACAGAAAGGGTGTGCGTTTGCTTCGTCCCTGGTGACAGGTGCTGTGCTGAGTGTTTTTTAAGGCCCTGGGACAGTTGAGGACTCTGCGTTGGGCCAGGACCTGAGGACACAGCCCCCAGGACAGCCCCTGGGAGCCGGGGCCTGCAGGGAGGCGCAGGGACGGGGAGGCTGGATCCGGGTGCTGCTGTGTGCGGCCGGCACCCGCTGTTGGGCTGAAGGAGCCTCCGTTGCTCTCCAGCACGGCTGCGCGTGGCTGCAGGACCCCAGCCTCTGACGCTGTCTGGAAGCACAGAAACTGCTTCCCAGCCAGCCTCCCTGCTTCCCCGCAGGCCCTCTCCAACCCAGTCCCTTGCTGATAGACGGTGGCCCAGGGAGAAAAGATCGGATCATTTTGTTTCCCAGTGTGAAGCTCTTCAGTTTATTGCAGAATTTCAGATAAAGCCACACTCCTTAGTCAGGCCACAAGGCCCTTCCTACGGTTATTCCCGCCTCCTGGGCATTGCCTAGAGGTCCCCACCCTTGGTGGCCTATGGTACTGCTATGCCAACTCTGTTGAACTACTGACTGTCCTTTGAGAGGACACATTTTTCCTGCCTTGAGACTTTGACCTCCCCATTCTCTCCTCTCCACGCCCCCTTATCCGTGTGTCCAAGACTCAGAGCGGGTATCGGCCCCTCTGGGAAGCTGTTCCCACCCCCCTCCGGGCTGGGTCCCCCCTGCCGAAGCTCCCCGCATACCCGACTCTACCTGCTGCGTGCTCTGTCCCCTCCTTGGACCGTGAGGAACTCAGCTCCTGTCTCCGGCAGGGCGCACAGGTCTGGACACGCCAGGAGCGTGAACGGGTGGCCGCCTGTGCCAGGGAGCGGGCTGCGGTCAGCACTAGCACGGGCCTCGGAGCCGGCGGGTGGCCGGCATCACATCCTGGCTCTGCTACTTGCTTGCTGGGTGACCTTGGCCAAGTTACTTAACCTTTCTGTGCCTTTGCTGCTTATGGATAAAATAATGGGGTCACTAATAGTACCTGCCCAGTGAGGTGGTTGTGGGGATTCAAGAATTAAATAAAGCGCTTAATATAGTGAGCGGCTGGACGTAAGCGTAGTGTACGCGGAGTTCTCACCGCTCTGTCTGCTAGCTCTCAATCTGCTTTTGCCCGGAAACAGTCCTCTTCCTATTCATCCCTGCCATTTTTTTTAAGGGCAAATCTCTCTAGCTACTTAATTACCTCAGTTCTCTGGGGATAAGAATGTGAGGAAAAGTAAAAGGGAGTTGTTTTCTCAGTTCCTGCGCAGGAGTGGTTTGTGTGAGCAGAGGCGGGGGCATGTTATGGGCAGCTTACCCTTTAAGGAAACAAACAGCTCTCCAAACACTGAGATTGATTTTCAGGCAACTGCCGCCTGATCCAGCTCCTGAGGGCTACTTAAGATGCGTCTCGCAGAATGGCTGAGGCCTCTCACTTTCATCTTATCCTACAAATCATTCTCTTTAAAAACAAAACAAAAGGCCCAGAGCGGGGGGCGGCGGGGGGGAGAAGCAAGCAAAAGCCCACTAGACGGTTCTACCTGTGGAGTTCATAGTAGTGATTTGAAATCCTTACACTAGTTCAGAGTAGGATTCCTTTGCCAGTTTTCGCCTTCTCCAGGTCCGGTGTTGGGGCTCCGCTTTCTCTGCGCTCTATTCCAGAGCGGCCGCCTGACCTCCTGGGTGTTGCAGGCAGGCCCAGGCAGGCAGGCTGGGCTGTGATGAGTTCGCTCGCCCCCCGCCGGCGCTGGCATGTGGGACTCACAGAGCCGTCCTGGGCGAGAGTGCTCTCTCGAGCGCTGCCCTAGCCTTCAGGTGCAGCCCAGCAAACACAGCTTCAGATTATGTAGCCTGTATCCTACTGAAAACTTTTAACTTTTGCGTTTCTTCCTATTATTAAAAATAAACGTAATGGTTCCAAACGTACCAGCACGCAATGACATAGAACCCAGGTATATGTAATAATAAAATCTGCTTCTAATTTTAGCCACCTGGTGGCTGATATTCCCCATCCTAGTGAGAATCATCATCTCACTTTACTTTGTTATTGGTTTTATCCTATTAAGTATGTGAGAATGTATCCTTGGATGTAGAAGAACCAAGAATGTATAGAACAGGCCAAAGAAAGCACCCTTGAATTATCGTATGGTAAACCAATTGCTGATCGCGCTCATTGTTAGATTTGTTTTCTCAGAGACGTGTTAGTTTGTCATCAGATTACAGGGTAACCTCATCATACATTTAGTAAGAGAGATTCTTTTCTTCTGCACTTGTAACAACAGAGGTCAACAACACAACGACATACCAGCATACTAGCAACCGAGGACAGAATGCTAACCACAAAGAGTGGAGTCAGGACTTTGGCAGCTGTGGGGGTTTGGTCACGGAGGAAGTCTCACGCACAGGCGTGTCCTCCCAATCCAGCGCCTATAGTTGCCGGCAGGCCCAGGGGTGGGATGTCTGAGAGGTGGGTTTCCCGGCAGATTTCTTATGACTTAACTCCCCCCCCGCCGCCCCCGCCCCGGCCGCACCCCATGGCCAGTGCATAATCCCAGGCCAGAGTCTAAGAATTTCTTCAATCCTGTTTTGGACGTTGTGCATCTAGCTGCTAACACAGAGCTACTGCTGACCCAGGAAACTTGCCATCACGTGGGTTGTCCAGAGGTGAAGCTTAAGAATGGGACAAGGAAAACTCAAGAAAGACATAGTTTTTGAATATTTGTCACCCAGAAACGCCTTCCCCAACCCTGAGGCAAGCCCTCCGCGTTTTGTGGCGCCGCCCAGCCTGCGGCCAGAGGGGAGTGGGCTGGGGACCTGCTGGGGCCGGCAGCTGCGGGACCCCTGGCACAGCAGGCGGCCACGGCGCCCTGCGCCCGTCCCCCGGGACGGAGCTCGCTGAGACGTGTCCTGTGGGGCTCGGTCTCCCGGGGGCTTGAAAGGGGGAGGTTAGCTTCCTACCTGCATGTGGACCACGGATTCTGAAGGGAAATGAGGAAAAATGACTTCTGTGGCTCTAATTCTCCCCTCAAAATGATATTTGTTGTCACTTGTTTTCTGAGTATCTTGTGCAACTAGCGTACCATGACAGGCATGGCATTTGTAGAGGGCTCGTTGGGGTGGGGACTGAGGTAGAAGCTCACGTTTTGCTCAGCCCTCACACACGTGGGCACACAGCACGTGAGCCCTGCGGCGTCCTCGCCACCTGGCCCGGCAGTGGTCATGGCAGGCTGTCAATCAGCGCCTTCCGGTGGTGGCTGGGTCAAGGTGACTCCACTGGTGAGGAGCTGGACATGAGACCTGTCCCCTACTGTCCTGGCCCAGTGTCCCCTTGTGAAAGGCCAGAGCCACGCTTCTCTATGAAGACACCTGGGCAGCAGGCTACAGACGTTGGGACAGGGCTGTGGGGACCTGTGGCTCCTCCTGCCGAGTCCCCAGCAGGGCCGAGGGGTCGTGCGCTCTGCACGGAAGGGCGTGGCTCCGGCGTGAGCCCCTCTTCCTCTTCCCGGCGGGTCCCCTTTACTCCTGGCTTCCTGTGGTCCGTTCCTCTCCCCTGGGTCCGCTCAGACATCCCCCCTCCTCCAGCATCTGAAGAGACCGCCAGAAGCGCCGCATCGGGCCCGCGCAGCCTGCCAGTCTCGGCTTCTCTTTCAGGCGCATTGACAAATAAGCCGCAGCCCGCGCAGGAACCGGGAACAGCCGAAGCGCCGACCCATGTGTGCGGTGCAGGTGGACCATAGTATTGGGTGGGGAGTGCCCTGCTCCCTTGGTACACGTGGGATTATCAGGTCCTGCGTGCCAGGCACTGGGTGCGGGTCTGGGGACACGATGTCAAGCCCGACTGGCGGGGCCTCTGCCCTCAGGGAGCTTCCCATCCAGCACGAGGGACAGAGGCTGGGCCATGCGGTCGGTTGAGTGGCTGGAACACAGCCGCTGGGCTGAGAGCCGTGGTAGATCACGCAGGGACCACGCAGGTGGCTTGCCCGCCCCCAGCCCCCAGCACAGGGTGGGGCACAGAGCGGGCGCCCAGCTGGGGCTGGCAGGAGGGTCCGGCGGGAGTCGGAGTGGGCGGGGGGTGGGCTGCAGGAGCAGGAAGCGCGAGGACTCGCAGGCCCAGTGGCGGTCACGGGACAGGAGCTGGTTTAACTGTGCTGGGCACACACAGAGAGGGGCCCTCGCTCGCCCTGGTATGAGTGCCTCAGGATTCTCTCAAACAGGCGGGCCGAGGTCCAGCCGTTCTGTGAGCCCCGCGGCGTTCAGCGAAGGCCGGCAGCGATCTCTGAGAGCCGGGGAGGAGGGCGGTCTATCCTCCTGAGCCTCGCCTCTTCATTCGTGAATTTGCTCTGCTTCCCTTCGGACCGAGTTGTGAGTCAGGCTCTGGGCTCTGGGTATGGGCGAGGCTGCTCCCCGGCTTCCCCCGACTTGCTGAATCTCAGCGGTGAAGAAGGATGTCCATGGTCATTCAGGTCACATCTTTTTCCGTGTGCGGGAGACCGAGCATGCTTTTACATGTAAATATTTAAACGCCGCGGGTCCCTTTTTTTCTGTGAGCTGGCTGCTATGTCCTTTGCCCATTCGTCAAATTGCCTTTTAGCCTTACTCTTCCTGATTTTTATATCAAGAAACTTAAACCTTTGTCGGTGATGTGAGTTTCCGGTAATTTTATGGGACTGCTCTGGCCATTTGTGCTGGAGTAATTTACCCCTTTAGTCTTAGTAATTTCTTGTAATTGGTTCACGGGGAGACAGGGCTGTGACCGAGGCTGCGACCCCCTCCGAAACGTCAGTTGCATTTACCGGAATCTTCAAATGCTGTTTTACTTTATATTCCATAACAAACCCCGAGGGAGTATGTCTCTCAAATCTTGCCTTTCTCACTTTTTTTTTTTTATCTGCACCTGAGGACCTTTTTCCCCCCATGGCTTCTAGAGAGAGAGGAGGGGAGAGAGAAAAACATCCATGTGAGAGAGAAACATTGATTGGTTGGTTGCCTCTTGTACTTGCTTGGACTGGGATCGAACCCACAACCTAGGCACATGCCCTTACCGGAAATGCACCCTTTCGGTTACAGGACAATGCTCAATGCTCCAACCGAGCCACACCGGCCAGAGCTCTCCCTTCCTTTTAATTAGCAGATTACATTTTATCAAACACATAGCCCTTCAGGATCAAACTCTTTTTTTCATGCTGTGAGAATCTCTATTCAAAGCGAAGTTTAAAATGCATGGATGCCAGCACATGGCACGCACACGCTGCTCCGTCTTTGATCTCGTGTGGCCGCCTAGCGCATGAATTTGATTCCCACAAATAAAAACCGTCGTCCCAAGTCATCGCCTGTGATGAGTGATATCGCAACAGTGTTTCTCGGAGGCTGCGGCTCCTAGGCAGATGCCTGTAGGCTTGTTGAAAGAATCCGCCGCAGCGGAGAGCAATGGCAATTCCAGTTTGCAACAGTCCAGGGCGACGTGGAAGCTTATGTTTAATGGCTGAGGGGAAGAGCTGAGATACGCGCATTGAAGACCGTTTAGAAGGATATTTTTGGGTCTTCTGAGACGGTGGCTCTGTAGAGAAACACAGACTGTGTTGCGGTGTTGCTATGTACGTATACTTCTTCAGTCTGTGAGGGTGAGCCCAATCCTGTAAATGCCTGCAAGGAAACATCATATTAAAACTTCTCTAATTCCACATTTTTACTAGGTTGATGGACTTTATCCCGAACTGACTCTTCCCTTCTGTGCTTGGTCACCCACATGGAGGTTGAGTCTTTTGATGTGGGGAGAAGTAAGAGCTGCTATTCCGTCTCCCCTGTTACAGAGTTAGTATTGTGGACCCAAGTAGCTATGTAAAGCAAATATTTGTTGATTAGCTGCCGCATACCAGGCAACGTGCTGAGGTCGGGGTTACAACAGCCACCACAGTGCTGACCGCAGCCTTCCTGGAGCCTTCAGCCCGGCGAACAACCTGGAAGGAAACCGTTCAAGTACCAGGTGGGGAAGCAATCACCTGGAAGCAAATGCCACGGGGGGCAGGGTGGCTGGTGGGCAGTGACAGCCGGGACAAGACTTGGCTTCGGGGTCTGTGAGCGTGCGCTCCGCCCCCGGCTGCGTCCCCTTCCCTTTGGAAGACTGTGCTGTATGCAGGAGGGACCGACAAATGAGTGAAGACAATGTACAGGCACAGCCACTCGGGCAGGTGGGAAGAACGGGGTGGTCCGACTTAAGGACACCTGTGTGGCAGAATGGAAACCCTGTGATCCCATAAGCTCTCCCCATCGGGCCAGCGCTGCCTCACCTGCCAGGCTGCGTCCACAGGTCCGGCTTTTGTCTGAGCGCAGCCCCGGAGCAGCTGCTGCAGTCCGTGCCTGGCGAACGTCATTCCTGCCTCCCTGCCTCCATGGCAGGAGCCCATGGTCGGGAACGTCGGCGCCGGCCATCGTGGGGGTGGGCGGCAAAGGTCACTCCGCGGTGGTCGGGCGGTGGACGGGCTGGTCCGAGGGGCCCAGGGCGGGGTCTGGGTGGGCGTCCGGAGGGCCGGGCTCAGCTGGGACTGTCAACGGGGGCACCTCCAGGGGGCCCCTGCGGCGTGGCGGCCTCGCGTGGGCCGGGGCAGGCAGAAACTGCACCGGGGCGCGCCCACACGATCTGCCTGTCCCCTCACCGCTGGGCTGGTCCCCCTGAGTCAGGGGGACCAGGCTGCGCTTTTCCCCGGACCAGCGGCAGAGGATCTGCAGCCACGGCTAAACGACGCACTGTATGAGTTCTGGATGTGCCAAAATGCTCAAATCATTTACTTACAGATCCAGTCCTTTACTAACTGGGACTAGTTTAAGAAAAGTTTAGCAGTGTCTAAAAGCAATGGAATTTGTTTTTTTTTTTTTAAATATATATATATATATTTGGTGATGGGCAGGGCAGTGTGTCTGCAGCATTATCTCCCGCCTGTGAAGTTCCTGGATGAAGTGAGACAGCGGCCTCAGGTCGAGCTCTCCTTTGAGGAGGATGAGCGGAGAGCTTTGCTTCTGAAGAAGTGGTCCTTGTACAAGCAGCGAGAGCATGAGATGGAGAGGGAAGCCATCAACTCCATGCTTGAGGCCCAGCAGGAAGCTCTGCAGGAGCTGAAACTCACGTCCCAGGAGCTCCATATGGAGGCCATCAAGCGGGACCCCAGTCTGTTCCCCTTTGAGAGAGAAGGGCCAACGTATACACCACCAATCTCCAACTACCAGCCCCCTGAAGGCAGGTACCACGACATCACCAAGGTGTACACACAAGTGGAATTCAAGAGGTAGAGCTGCAGGCAGCCGTCTGAACAATCTGCCTGCCCTTCAGAGCCAGAATGACAAGGGTTCAAGTCTGCTTGTCACAGTATTAGGCATGCTGAGAATAAATGTAAATGTAATAAAAAAAAAAATGTAAAGATGTAAAGATCCAAAGATGTAAAGGCGCCCACAGCAGCGTGACCCCTGCCCATGGACCGCAGACCTGGCTGCTCCATACGCCCTTTGACCGTCATTTCTACATCGTCCCTGAGAAGCAGGAGGGCGCCTGTGAGGTGGCGCCCCCTGGGGCCCCTCATCTCCGAGCGGGCGAGTGCATGGCCGCCCTCTCGATAGGTCCCCCCACAAGCCCGTTCGGGGCTGTGGGCAGGAGGGGACCTGGACCTGTTCTGTCGGAAGCTTTATGTCTGTCGTTGCTACCCCCCGGGGTTGGGGTGGGGCTGGGGCGCTGCGGTCCAGGAGGAAGATCCTCACTGGGGCCCCCCCAGCAGCTCCCCCGAAGCTCGGGGCCACCTTTAGCCTCAGTGGGGGGTGGGGACAGGGGTCAGGGCAGGGGACGTCACTGCTGCCATGTGGGGGGCACACGGGGGTTCTGACGGGCCCGCAGGACGACTGCCACACCACGTGCGTGCACACTGAGCACGTCGCAGCAGGCGAGAGCTGGAGGCCGCCCGGCAACACCGCGCCGCGGGTCTGGATCCGGGAACACCAGGCTTTCTTCCCAAGTGCGGAAAATTAATACCTCTTCGGTGCCTCCAGCGTCAGGGTCTCTGAGGCGGCGAGCTCAAAGACCGCTGGACAGACTTAATCTCGCCCCAGCTTTGTTCCCTTTGTCGGAACTCCAGGCCGAGGCCTTCAGCTCTGTTCCCACGAGCAGCCGACTGGATGATGTTCTGGGCCGCTCTCAATGGCTTCTTTGTGTCATTTAATTCTCCGAACAGAGACTTCGGTGCTCAAGAAAACGCAAGAGCTATGAACACATCAGATATGGAGGGGACTTTTTTTTTACCTGCCATTTCAACCTGTGAGCTGTGGTTCTTCGCATCACAAACAGCCGCGACGCAGTCACCCTGAGCTGTCTGCCCCCGGACCCTGGGATTTGCGGTACCTACGCTGCCCGGCCCATCGCCGAACGTACACACACGCCATTGTTTTTAGACACAGCTGACGTTGCCTCAAGTTAGGAAGGAACAGATTCTATAAATAAATGATTAGAATCATTTTGGCGCCCCCTGAGGTGGTGCGGCGTGTGGCTTCGCGATGGCCGCAGACGCTCTGCCGTCCCCCCGAGAAGTGGGGTCTGGTTCTCCCCCTGCCGCGGCCTGGACCCGCCGGACGGCGCAGGGGGCCTGATCTGCTGGGCGGGGAGCTGGGTGCCTTTCCTCCTTCAGGGCCGTGTAGTTTCTGCCCGGTCCCCTGCCCGGCTTTTAAAAAAATTTGAATTACAGTTGACATACCATATTACATTGATTTCGGGTGTACAACACAGTTATTAGGCATTTATGGAACCTAGGAAATGACCACCCTGGCGAGTCTAGCACCCGCCCGACACCGGCCACAGGGCTCACAATATTGTTGGCTGTCTGCCCTGTGCTGCACTCTACCGTTTGCACATCTTAACCCCTTCACCTCTGTCACCCACTGTCCCAACCCCCTTCCACGCCCCGGCCCACGCGAGGCCGCCACGCCGCAGGGGCCCCCTGGAGGTGCCCCCGTTGACAGTCCCAGCTGAGCCCAGCCCTCCGGACGCCCACCCAGGCCCCGCCCTGGGCCCCTCGGACCAGCCCGTCCACCGCCCGACCACCGCGGAGTGACCTTTGCCGCCCACCCCCACGATGGCCGGCGCCGACGTTCCCGACCATGGGCTCCTGCCATGGAGGCAGGGAGGCAGGAATGACGTTCGCCAGGCACGGACTTCAGCAGCTGCTCCGGGGCTGCGCTCAGACAAAAGCCGGGCCTGTGGACGCAGCCTGGCAGGTGAGGCAGCGCTGGCCCGATGGGGAGAGCTTATGGGATCACAGGGTTTCCATTCTGCCACACAGGTGTCCTTAAGTCGGACCACCCCGTTCTTCCCACCTGCCCAGGAGCCCTGCTTGTGAATACTGTCATCGTTCATTTAGCCGTTGATTGTGCTGCATTCCCCAAAGACAGGGGGTGCAGCATAGGGTGGAGCCCGCGCTCAGAGACGCCACATCGAACAGAAGGATCAGCGAGCCAGCCGTCGTCACACCCTGACTCACAGAATCAAGAGCTGTGCTAAAACGGGCGCGTTAGGCTGCTGGAGCAGTTAGTTGGGGCGGTTGGCTTTGAGGCAATAGGTAAGCGGGACACGTGGCTTCTGTCTCTTTTAAGCCAGTGAAATCTGGATGAGCGAAAGGACAGGGTCGAGGTCAGAGGCGGGACCAGGGCAGGGGGAAGGAGGACTCCCTGTGGCCAGGCCTTCGGCGCGGTGCGCTCGGTTTTTCCCTCTGAGTCACGGCTGGAACGCTCCCAGTCGCGCTGGAACGTGAGCCGCCGGGGTCTATGAAAACAGGCTGCGTTATTAAGCAGGCTTTCCAGAACAAGAGGGTCCTTTGTTGTAATAATTCCATGTGAGAATTTTACAAGGAAATAAGCTTTCATCTCCATGTAAAAGCTTCAGTTGGTATCAGGCCATATTATTAAATACGGATTAAAAATAGCCCTGGAGTTTTTAAAGCATAATTTGCACAGGAGGATACATAGCAAGTTCCACTTTTGTCGTCCGTGTACTTCTTGTGACTAACATAACTGAACTCGTGGCCTGCGTTCAAAGCTAAGAACAATTTGGTTCAATGATTAACTCTGTGGGTCAAGGGTGACCAGCCACCTATCCACCCAATAATACCTTGATTATTACGATGGTGGAAAAGACTAAATACTGTCACCTTTGGGGATGCATTTAGGGTTAATGGGCTTTTTGAAAAGTTCAGAGCTCTGTTTCAAATCTTAAGATCGAAAACGTGTCTTAGTACGGAGGTGTGACGATGGACGAAGTTACTCGTAAGTCCCGAAGATGTGGGAGAGCGACAAGCACGTTTCGAGACCGAGCATAGTCCCTGCCCCCCGTGGTCTGGGGCGAGGACCCTAATCAACCGATTTCGGCGATGGCGCGCGTCCGCACCACGCGCGGACGGTCGGCCTGAACTGTCCGTTGGCTGTGCAACCAATGTCCATGTGTAAAGTGTTGCTAGCAGCGCAAGCTTTTATTAGTTTAAGAAAAAAAAATACTAAATTTTTCTTTCCTAAAAATAGGCCTAGCTGCCCTCAGCGTACAAGGAAAACCTTTTATCATTGTTGCACAATTTTCTCTCTTGGAGAAAACGTTTTTCTGTTATAAGCTCACGAGAGGCATGATGCTTGATATTTGTGTCACCAGAGACACGGATACAATAGCCATAAACGACCCCCGGGAGACACGGAACTGAGCGGCGAGAGAGAGCCTTCGACTCCAGCGCTGCGGGGCATCATTCCAGGCTCTGGGTTCTGTCGCAGGAGTCAAACCCCTGTCATAGCCACTGTCCTCGCTCGGTATTTGTTGCTCCACTAGAGGGCAGAAGAGGCCGGGCAAGAGAGCGGAACAACGGCTCGCCGGGTGGCTTCCTGTCCAGTTCGCGGTCCCTTTGCCTTGCAGAAAAGGTAAAGAAATGGAGAATCCTCACGGGTGGTCCGCTCGTGGGATGGCGCAGCTGGAATCGCTGGCCCGTTCCTCGCCAGCAGCCCCTCTGGGCCTTGGCAGTCACCCCTGCACTGGAGTCGCAGGCTAGCAGGAGCCTGGCAGGGCGCCCTCTGCTGGCAGCTCGCTTCCGTGGGCCGTCCTCCCTCGCCAGTGTGGAGTGGCCTGTCCCCGCCCCACCCTACCCACCGGCCCAGCCTGCAGCTCACCCGAGGGGTGGGCAGGACCCCTGAGGGTTGCTGCCTCCCCAGCGCCACCTGGAGGAAGCAGCGAGGAGGTGGTGCTGAGCCGAGACGCTTGCCCAGAGCGTGGAGGAGAAGGAAGCTCAGACTACGGAAGCGGCACGCTCAAGGCTGTGATGCGAGGAGGCGGGTCGCCGGTTCCGAGGGGGGCTCGCAAGTAGGAGTTCCAGATTCGAGCAGCGGTGTCCTTTTCTGACAGCAGCAACATCACAACCTCCCCGAAGAGGGCAGCTCTCCGGCATTCCTTGCCCCTTATAGAAACTGGGAAGTTAGCTGAGTGCATTGGGGCCTGGCCTCTCCGTTGCGTCGCGGCTGGTTTTTCCCCCCATGTCATTGATGTCATCCGCTGGGGTGGCAGATAACATCTTTTAGGACACGGTACCCTTCAGGGGCTGTCCTTCCCCAATGTTGTGGTTGATGGGGCATTTCTGTCAACGTTGTTCCTTTAGCTCTTGGTAAAGAAAATCATCTGCTGCGTCATTGTTTCCATGGGAAAAATAAGTCAATGTGTCAATTCAACTCTCGTCATCTTTCCCAGGGACATAGGCCACTTATGAAGAATGCCTTTCCTCGAAAAAGGCATCGGCCACTGCTGTTTCAGAACCAGAAGTTTCTAAAATGCCTCGTCCAGATTGTCAGAACTCCATGGCGTCCTTCAGTGAATTAAGCGAATGCGCTTTTCAGGGTCTGTGCGGTATTACTGAGGTCGTACTTCCGGCACCAGTAGCAGCTGAACAAAAAATGGAAACGGTTAAAAATCCCCTGAAATTATTCAACTTGTGCACAGAGAGTAACGAAGTGAGTTTATGGCTCTCGGTTTCTTGGATGGCTACCTCAAGGACGGCTGGGGTTTTGAATGGTCTCAACACAACAGGCATCCCAGACGAGGTCAGGAAGAGAGCGACGCTTGTGAAGCCCCAGAGTTGACTCTCCTCTGGGTGGACCTGTCCTCCTGCCGCTTGTCAGTGTCCCCTGGGCACATCAAAGACACTGGGTGCTTCCGCTCCCAGCTCTGTGGAGCGCTGACTGCCAACGGCATCGATGGATCGATTGGCCCGTGTACTCATTCAGCGATTCGGCAGACATTACTAAGCTTCCCAGAGCCCATAAAGGAAAACCTTTTATCATTTTGGCACAATTTTCTCTTTTAGAATAAGGTGTCATGTTCCTGGTTTTGGGCACCCCACTTTTTTGTTTG